ACTACTTAAATTTTACTAAAAGGTTTAAATGGATTCTTGACTAAGCCAAGTACTTCAGAGGTTTTTGTTAAAGTTCCTATAAAAATGCATTGTTTTTTCAATTTAAAAGGATTTGAGTATAATATTGCAGAATATTAAAATAGGTCCCATAAAAAAGACATGGTTAATCCAGCTTAAACGTATTTCAGTAGACTATTCACATTCATTAAATATTTAGCGCAGAAAAAAACCGTTTAGTTCAACTTTATAGTTACCATAAAAGATTCAATTTCCTTTGAAAAATAAAAATTTAGTTAAGTCTCTCGTTTATTTTGGCATAAAAACGTAATTTTCTGCAGCAATGTTCACATATAAAAGATGTATTTCTCCTCTGGATTTAACCGGAATGAAAATAAAATCTAAAGCAACCCGAAAGCATAGATCGCTTAAAAAAAGCCTGGTTGCACAAAATAAAACAAAAAGCAGATGCGAAACTGCCAACAGTTTTTCCTGAATTCCATGCCAAACAGAAAATGCATTTTTCTGTCGCATTTCCTGCCCCAGCGTGGAGCATAAAATAAAATAGCAAAGCAACATAAACACGTGCCAGCCCAGTCTAATGTCGGCTATTTCCTGTTGGCCAAAAACCGTAGGCCAAAAAAAAAAAGGCAGGGAAAACAGGCATGCATAAAAGCAAGCGTCACCGGCAGCAGTAAAAGAAGCGTGGAACGACAGCGAGAATTTGGTCAGGGGAGAGTCTGGACTCGAGTTGGGTTCTTTTCCCGACAGCCTCCACTTCTCCGCCACTTTTCCCATTTCCCTAGCCACTAGGAGTGGTGGGCGCTGCGAAGGAAATGAGGACAGGAAAATCCCGCAGAATAAAGGAGCAACAATTCAAGAGAAGTCAAAAGGAATCGTCCAGGGAATACCCTTCGAAAACTTTGGACTCATTACAAAAGTGGCAATGAACTAATGGGTTTAAAAAATAAAAAATAAAACGAAACTAAAGTTCAAGTACATACATTTCTATAAAAACTTTCTACAATTGCAGAATTATATAATAAAACTAAAGATTCTAATAAAGCCATTTAAGAACACATATCTGTTATCCTAACTAAGCTAAGTACTTAAAATAATTGCCTAAAATCTCAGAAAAGTAAATATAAAAAGAACTGGCAACAAGAAGTAGAATAACACAAAGATCAACAACAACTGAGGCCATAATCACACTTGGTAACACCACGAGTGGCAACTCAAAAAGCAGGTAGTTAGAAAGGGAAAGAGAAATATGTTAATAAAGACGGGGGGAGGGGGTTAGGCATAGCATAACGTGATAAACGCTGGATGAATGACCTCTCTCTTTATAAACGAACTATTTTTTTCGTTCGCCTCTACCAACTACATTTTAGTCAAAAACAGATGACGCAGATGCATCTTAAAGATGCACTGAAGAAAAAATCAAGGCTAAAATAATGATTTTGTTAATATATTTTAATACATTTTGTTATCAAAGCTTATTAATACATTTTAGAAAGTTTGGTATTGGGTAAAATAATTATTTTCAATTGTATTCGTTTCTGGGAAATAAGAAAAATGTTAATGGTTACTGATAAAGGAAAATTTATCTTATCTTATAAAGTAGTAGTTAACAAAAGTTATTTAAACTTCAATTTGTCATTTATTTAAATACTGTAGAAATAAATCTGAATATTTCCTAGCTTAAATATATAGGTAAACTATCTAAAAATTACTTTATCAATATTTTCCTCAGTGTTTGTCAGTTCCATTTTGCAGCTAGAGAGATGAAAACTTTTTTTTTGCCACTGGCCATCCTTCTAATAGGCCAACAAAAATCTCAGCTGGATAATGATGCACTGACAACTGAAACTGCATGCTGCGTGCCGTGCTATCTCTTTCTCCCGCTCTGTTGCTATCTCTTGACCTCCCCCTGCTGCTGTCTCTTTCTCTGTTTGTGGCAGTTACTTAGTTATGCATGCTTCTTCTACCACTTCTCTTTGTTTGTTTGTCTGCATTTCTTCTTTCGAGTTCATTGCCGCGACTTATTTTTTTTCTCCTATGTCTCAAACATTTTCCACTCGCTTCTGAGTGGCAGCATAATCATTATTATCATAATGAACACGAAAATCATTATCACCTCAGTGTTGGCCCCATCTTCTTGGCCCACTCGACTACCCTTCAGCCTGTGTTCATTAGCCTTGTAAGCCCCCCTTTTTCCCCACTCTTGACACACTCCCCGATCATAATTCAATTATCCGCAAGGGAACCCCTCTTTCGGGAGTGAATAGAATCCGAGGAAGCGGTTACGGCTTCGGTGGCCAAATCACCCAGATGGCTAAAGGAAATGGTTTACGACTCGCGGAGGAAACAGCTTGACTTTCAGCTAGATGGATTGTTAAATTCTTGAAGTGCAGAGGTGCAATATGATGGATTGTGGGGAATTTAAGTAGTAATGGAATGCTTTGCATAAATAACTAAATAAAGCAATATGAAAGCAATAAAGTCTAAACATTACCTTCTTTTTCAAAATTTAGTTAGATATAAAGTCTATTTAAAATACTTTATTTTAGTTTTCTGGAAACTCTAAGCTCAACTTTCATAAAAAGTTTCCAATTAAATTTTCATCATTTAATTGTGTGCAAATAAATGGTTATGCCCCTAAAATTACCCGCTAAATCATAAAGAAAGAAGTGATCTACAGTGCAGACTTTAAGAAGAAATATAGTAATTACCGAGCAATCAAAATTTAATACATTAATTGCTATATCAACCACTGTATCTAGGGAGTATGATGGAACAGGTGGTGGATGGATGGTGTGGTAGGCAGTCTTCTTTAGTCAGGCACCCAGTTTCGTAGAAACCATAATTTGCACGCTTTCTTCTCAAAACCCAGACACGAGTCTCGATTAGACCGACTCTCCATTATTTGCCGCTCAAATTCTTGGCTTTAACACATTTTCTAAATATCTTCGAGTTCACGATCAAGATCAACGAAAGAGAATACAAACTGTATTGCCGCTAATGAAGCCGGCGAAGATGCTGTGTGAAGTAAGGCGGAAGTGGGGGGTCCCCTTTCAAACACTGAAACAAATACATATACAAATACACATACAAATACGTATATGTGTTCTGGCCAAAACCCCCTCCCTTTACACACATTTTGACTTTCATTTCTTCATACAGTTAGACACTTTTATTGTGCTTCACATTACTTTTGTGTGTGCGAGTTGGTTTTCCTCCCCGCTCGTCGGTCGTTTTGTTTGCCATACGTTTTGTTACTGTTTGTGTTTTTGTTTATTCGGACTTTTCCTGAATTTCTATTTCCAGCATAGATAACCAAGCATTTCTATAAGCAAAGTGCGATATTTCACAGGGGTCTCGCCGGAATCGAGTTGGCTACAACAATACGGAGCGCATTATATCAGTTCTTCTATGGCATTGTTTTTCTTTTTCGAAATTCGTTTTTCTTTCGCCGGCGTTCTTTCCTTTGTTTTGCGTATTTTTGGCATTCCTTCTGACGCTTTTTCCAACTTTTCCTGGTTAACTTTAGTTGCTACTTTGAGAAGAATTTCCACCAAGGTCAGGGGCTTAGAAATGGGAGGGGTTCTACCTTATTTCAAGGAACTGAAGACGTTTGCTCTCCATGTTTTGTGATATTTTATAATTCCCTTTGGTCCAAAAATACCCCTCTAAAATCTGTAGACTACGCTCCTGTTCTCAATAATAGTTATGTGTGTGTTTCAGGGTGAATATGCTTAGTACCAACAAAAGCAAATATAAATTGCCATAGATTAAAGCTGCAATCGTGACTGGGGTAAGCTGGAGAAATGGAGAAACAGCAGGGGAAAATGGTAGTCACCGGCGAGAAGCGAATCAAATTTTGTATCAAATTACTCAAAGGAAAATTTCAATTGAGATAATAGAACCAGATTTGCGTTCAAATTAATGGTAGAGCTGCACATGGAAATTCTGTATTCGAAGAAAGAATTTTCCTTTAATTGGAGGAAAAAGGTTCTTCGATTTCACGTTGAAAAATGAAGCGAAATAAACATATAAATATCTCTAATTCAATTTGTCCACTGATTTTTCGGTGTCTGTAATTTCTCTGACTCCATTTTCAAGTTGGAAAACCTTTTCGGAATTAAATTAAGCTCTTAACACTGCGTGGAAAACCGAAACAATGTGCCACGCTGGGCTCGGCTTTTCTTTTATTTCCCAATTTTCACACAGACACAACTCGGGGCCCAAATCCACTCGGAGATTTCGGGTGGAACTCGCTGGGCAGACACTTGTGCATATTAATTGCTTATTGAGCAGGCCTCCCTGTTTTCCACGAGGGCAAGTCAAATGGAACAAAAAAGCACCGCGGCGGGAAAGAATTGTTTGGGCAAATCCTCGTGCACGAGGAAAGCCTTTTTTTATTGTACTTTATCAGATTCAATCACTCCATCGCATCCAGCACTAAAAAAAGACGGTGGGCACTGCCGTTGATGGATATTATATATTTAAGAGAACCAGAATTTTATTTAAATACCTAAGACAAGTCAGGGAATATTAATCCTTTATATTTTAATATAAGGAAATAAATAGAAACAAACATTTTTAAATAGATCTAAATATTTTCTGACACAAATTTTAATATAGAATTATATGAAAAACTCTAAATCAAAATAATTTTAAAACAATTTAGATCTTCTTGTAAAAGTTTTTTTTTTAAGTTCAACTAAGTAAGTATTTTAATGCAATTAATAATCTTTCTTTTAGTGCACATAGTCTCAGCAAGGTGAATCATGGCTAATGGTGGTTAAAAAAAGTACTAATAAAGTAAAAATAAAGACATGAAAAAAGGGTTCCACCTATATATGATTATTTCCGGGGGATCACTGTAGTTCTTAGTTGTGGCTTTCATTCATTCACTCCGACACACTCGCCCTCCCTCAATTCCTCAATCCCTCAACCCCGGCATTTATTCATTCATTCATTCGTGCAAGTGTTCTTCTCACCTGTTTGTTTTGTTGTTGCTGCTGTTGTTTCTTGTCCCTGTCTCCCTCCCTCGCTCTCGTCCCGTCTCTTTCGCTCGCGTGCCGAAACAAGCGTTTTCCGGCCGAAGGTAGATTTTTATTTTTTTTTGTTTCGGGGTGTCAGAGGTTGCAGGTTTGGTGGTTCAGGGGAAACCTTTGTTGCAGCCACTTGTGCGCCTCTCCCTGTTTTATATTTTTTTTGTTCGTCACTTGGCCCTTTTACTGGTTGACAAAATGCCAAACGCTTGAAATTCCTTTATATCCGTTTTTTATATTCCCCCGTTTTATATTCGAATTTTTCTTTTTTTTCAGTTAGCGCGCGGTTTTAAAATTTGGTTTATTCCTGTGTTTGATCAAAATAAAAAGGGAGAACGTAATGTTGTTACCGCTGCTGTTTGCTGTTTTTATTTTTGCTGGCGTTTTCTGTGTTGTTAACCTTTTCCTTTCTGTGCACGTGTTTGATTTTCCCCTTTGGTGTTGCTGTTGTTGTTGTTGCTCTCGGGCTCATGGCAACCTGTTTGCCACCGGAATGTTTTCGTGTGGTTTTCCCAAAGAATGAAAACTCGGCTGGAATGCTACGAGTTATAATTATGATTGCATTCGAAAATCTTTGTAATTTCCGTTCTCGTTTTGGTCGTTTTTTGTACTGTTGCTGCGCATTTATCAAAGGGAATTCTTTAGTTCGTTTATGGAATTTGGTATTCAATGTGATTATTCGAATTGTGAAAATTTAATTAAAACAAAATTTTATTTAAATTTCAATTAGTGCTGGTTTGTAGTTTATTTAAATTTCAAGTCTTAACTGATTTTTCTTGCGAACAAAATGTATGAAATTAAATTGTTTTGTTTATTATGTGGCATTTATTAAATACAAAAATATTTGATATTTTTATATGAAGAATAGTTATTTTAAAATATGACTAAATTTATATTCAATTGCTGAGATATAAATTGTGCCACATAATTATATGCAAACAAGCCGCCAAAGTTATTTCGTTTTATTTACACTTCCGACTGAAGTATTTGTCCAATTTTCCGCAACAATTTAAACAACAAATAAACAAATCAATTAACGGTTTCAATACATTTCAGTTGGTTTCGCTACAAGAAGTCGGTCAATCAGTGAAGTCTGGCCATAAGTGTGTGCTTTAAATTTAATTAAGCCTTCTGCCGCTGTTACTGGTTTTTGTGTTTTGGTGTTTTTCTGTGTGCTTTTTCTTCTACTATTTTTCTCTTGATTTTTCTTGATTCGTTTAGGAGCCAAAGATGGAGAGACGACCGAGTCGATCCGATTCTCTGGCTTTCTAAACCCAGGTGATGCACGCTCCGCTGGCGCTGCCCACTCGAGAGCAGCAACAACAACAAGCTCTAGACTTGCCGCCGACTAACGGTAAACCAAATGAAAAACTTCTATTGATAGAGTCGAGTCGAGTCGAGTCGGTTGGCCAAAGTCTCCTCTTGGCCAAAACCAGCGTTCATCTCGGCGACGTCACGGCGCGCATTCAAGAATTCTGGACCAGCTGGAAACCGTTGTTCGCCATCGCCGCCAAATCAAAGCCAAATAAAACAGAAAACTGGTTTTCGAACAGGATTGGTGTTTGTTGGTAGCATAGAATGCATATTCGCAAGTGCAAATGATAAGCGGAAAAGCATGCAGGAAAATTAACACACAAACAAGCACAAGAACACAAAAATCCGTACGCACTATCGTGATTTTTTCCCAATCGCGTTTTCCGGAAAAACTCCGTCCACGTGTGCACCGTTTGGGCCTTAAAAAGTGACTGAAAGCCAAGAATCGGAGACGCAGTGTGTAGGAATCTTAATTTAATTTCGTTGTTCGAAACACTATTTTTGAATTTACCGCTTGCCAACGCGATTCTCTTCCGCGTTTTCCGCTATTCGCCGTTCAAACGTTCGAACCGTTTGGGCCTTAAAAAGTGACTGAAAGCGACTGAAAGCCAAGCATGGAGCTCTGAAGTCGGGCTCCACACAATGTTGACAGCTAACAGCGACGACCGTCCTACAGCTCATGTTTGCAATAACAGGTTTGAGAGAGCGCAATGTTAAAATCCTAACAGGTTTGAGAGAGGGACAAGAATGGTAGCTCATGCAATGTTAACACCAAACAGCGACTCTATTTCAGTGTTAACCGGCTTTTAACCCTCTGCTAACTGGCATATCTTCTTGCATGCCAAGCTAATATTTATTTGGCCTTTTCGGGGGTGCATTAAACCCTCTGCTTTCGCCTTGCTTGAGTTGGCCAGACATGCAGGCCAATTTATTGGGTTTCAATTAGCTACAAAAGTTAGCAAGGTTGGAGGAAGCGGCCAGCCATTTGAAGATGATGCAAAATTAATACAAACATGGTTATTACCAACTGAATGGGATCTTAATGAGCCAGTTGTTTAGTTTCGGAAGTTATGAAAATGTACACCAGACTTGTGCAGATTTTAAATACCAAATAGCAATAAATATAAATAGCTGTTGGTGAATAGATCACGCTAAATGGTTTGTAAGACCACTTTCAAATTGGGTTGATAGAATAATATAATTATTTCACAATAAGAATTTACACTTTATTTCATGTTGACAGCTCGTGGTCAGGTGGAAGAGAGAGAAAGATATATAAAAGTGAGATCAGATCATCTCAAATATGGAATATCAGTTAAAAAATAAGAATAATATTTATTAAAAGACCGTTGATAATCTTTTAAGATACACTATTCTAATATTTAATTGTATTGTTTAGATATATGAATTAAAGTTATTGTTACTTATTTATTTATTGTGGGCCATCTTCAAATACATTTACATTTACGTAAATTGTTTACGTAACTTAAGAACTTTGGACAGCGGCGCCAAAACTGTATGACCACATTGGAGAAAACGCAGAATATTTGCGTTAATCCCAAAGTTGGTCACACTGCCTGTACCTGAAATCTGTGTGTCGCGAAATTCTCCGTTCCGCCGCATTTTCCGCGAGAAAAAGTGCTGTCGACGGTAGCCGGGGGTAGGGGGCAGGTCGCCGCGAACAGTTTTCCGTGAAAAGTGATCAAATACACCTGTTTTCCCGTCGCGTGTGTTACCCATGTGCAAAATACAGTGCTGCCAGACCGTGAAACTGATCTTTACCGCCACGACCCTGGGACCCCATCAGAAAAGCGCAGGAAAGCCTCACGACCGAAATCATAACCTCAAGACTGCCAGCGTTGACCTCCTCAAGACCCTCCCCATCCCGGCGTTGCCAAAATTCTGTTAACTAACAGAAAAATATGTAATATCCTGTAGTCGTCGTATGTAATATCGTATGTTATGAATTGGTTCGATTCACAACTGCATTCTGTTGCCTAACATTAGTCTCAATGTCGTAAATGTAACAGCCAACTTAAACAGCCGGCTTTGATTTACAGCGCTGGCCAACTCCAGACTTAACAGAGACCACGCACCGCCCAAACAAAAGTCGAAAAACACAAAAAAGGGCCGTAACTCACCCCCCTCCACCCACAAGCCAAACATCCTCTCGAGGAATGAGCACCCACTAACAAGCCAACAAAAAAGAGGAACGAACACCAAACTTTAAGCGCAACTAATTATGTGGGGCAATATACGAGCGCTTCTGCAGCTTTAAATAGTTGGGTGCTAAGACAAGTCCCTGAAATACCTGAAATGCTCCCGAGTTCCCATTCACGTTCGAGTTGGGCTTCAAAGATTCAGCAAGTTTCGAGAGAATGTGCAAGTTATGCGAATGCGTTTTTCCATAAGCTTGAACTCGCCACCTCACTTCCTCTTTTACACTTTCTTACTCCGAAACTTTTCAAATATGCCACTCATACTAGCAAGTTGCAGTTTGAATGCATGGAATTTGCTGCAGTGATTTGTGAAGTAAACAAAAGTCCTTCGCTTATTTTTGAAATATAAAAATAAATAAATATACTTTGTTGTCCGCTTTTGAAAATTTTTATAGAAATAACGTACAGGAAAGGATTGTTGCATTATATAAAATATATCTATAAATGTATCAAACTGCAAAATAAGTATATTCACCCAAATGTTTCAGACTTTAGAAAGAATTATTTGAACAAAAAAGGATATAGAATTGTTTACTTGAAATTGTTGAGCTAGAAATTGACAGTATAATTTATTTTATTTATTAAGAGCAATAACTTGCTAAAATTAAATAAGAAAATATTTTACAAATAAAACATTTTTTAAGTAGCTTTATGATAACGAATAAAACATTTTTTATAATAATTTTTACTTTAAGAACTCAAAGCAAAAAGCTTAAAAAAATGAAAATTGATTTAATTTTTTAGCCATGCATCCAAACACTGTACTTCTGTTTGGCAGTTGTTTTTTTTCTGGCTGGTTTCTGGTTTTGTTTCGGTTATCTCCTTTTGGGCTGAGTGAGTTGTGGCTGCTGTTGAGTTGAGGCCTCAAGGCTGCACTTGGTTTTTTATTGTCTCTTCTTTTGGCCTTTCTTGCCGTTCGTTTTGGCCGCTTTTTGGCCTCATCCCTGCTTTCCGCTTTTCGCAGGTGACGTGGCCTATTAGCAGCGATAAAAGTCGAAGGCGCTCGACAACAAAAGGATATCCGCCTGAAGGAGCAGTGCCGGCAGGAAAATGCCACTGGCAGCACGTGGGGCATGCAGCTTAACAGGCTCTTCTCTTTCTGCCCCGCTAGATTACGCAGGCGGGAAATTATGGCTGAAAAATTAGCACATTAAATATGTATATGTGTGTGTACGACTGGGGCGATATCTTAATACGGCAAACGTGAGGCAGACACGAGCCCTTCCTCCGCTGGAAAATGAAAATAATTTCCCTAATCTGCCGACATAAAGCTGATTTCATATTTACTTTTCACATTTAATTGCGCAAATTGTTTACTCAGAACTTAAAGCCAGGTATTCTGAACCATCAAACGTGCTATTATCAGGGGCATTGTCCATATGTTAATTAGCCAGTGGATTATTTACTTACCATCTAATCTAAAACACAGGGGAGAGGTTGATTTGATTTAAGCGCAAATACTCGTAATTATTTAGTCCGTATTTTGTTGTTTTAAATGTGAATAATTTTGATAATTGATAATCGGCTTTCGTGTTGGTTCAAACTTTAAATATTTACACCATTATGGTGGTTTTCAACGTTATAGGCTGAATAATTTATCGTTTTGTTGAAATAGGTTGCAGCACTTGCAATAACTCTGCAAAATCCCCAAAAAGTATGCTATATTATTTTACAGTCATTAATTAATACAGAATTCGCTTGTTTTAATCTCATTTTTCTTCCTGTTTTGATGCTCACTTTTAATTGGGAACATATTTATGCGCTAGCATACATGACTTGTCAAAGTTTTTTAATTCGATTTTTAATTTTTTTACATGCGGTCTTCAGTTTACACGCATATTTTTTTGTGAAGACTCTAGCTTTTCCTTCTTATTTGTAGTTTCATTTTTTAGTGAGCTTTCTTTCATTCCATTTATTTTTTCTTTTGGCTTCCTTTTTTCCTGAAATTTACCATTGTCTATTTAGCTCCCTTTCATTATTTTTTTTGTTCTTCTTTTCTTCATTTTTGACTTATGGATGTCGTCAGTTGCATTTTTTCCTCTTTCTAATTGGGATTTAACAAGCCTTTCTTTGTCCTTACTCTTTTTCAACACTTTTCCGCTCTTCAACAACTGGAAATTTCTTTGCACATGAATCTTTTCTTGTATATCTGAGATAAATTGGAGTGCCACACCTATTAATGTCAAGTCATTAGGCACCGCTAACCATAATCCCATTCTCTGGTTTTTATACCCTTGCAGAGGGTATTATAATTTTGGTCAAAAGT